TTATTTGCTATAAGCTTGAAGATGGTGACTTGATCATGACAACTCTAATTGATAGGGAATTAACATGATGAAATTTGAATCCATGGCTATTTTGCCTTCACAATCGGTTTTCCATATAATTTTGCGGAGGGGTTTGATGCGGCAATATTCTTATCGGTGCACTATAGTGAATAATGATTATTCGTTGACAATGGATAGATAAAAGGTATCAGTGTTATACATAGAGCCCCAATTTCTCCAATTAGCATGTTGTGATTAGCTGATTCTGTTGGATATGATTCACATCATCTTCTTCACCCTTTTAATTTGGCCAGATCATTATTATACGGGGGAGAGCTACCCTCTGTTTAATTTATTTAGCTTGTGTTGAGCCTTGGCTTGAACACTATATCAATTCCAACATAGGAAAAGTTCTGTTTCTAGCAAGTTTCTTTTGCAAACATTTTGATTTTAGAGGCTACATATGAAGTCAGAGCCATGCAGCTTCATCTCCTCTTTTGAAATTAGGTTCTGTATGAAAATTTACTGGAGTCTATTATTGTCTGGCCATCAATCAAGGCTGTACATAATATTCAATATGGAATATGCAAATAATATGATTTAATATTTTTAGTTTTCTATTCAGCGAGTTATTTATTTTGAATGAAATTCGTTTGCTTCTATTCTGAAGAACATACTCGACTTTTTTTTAATAAGTCAATCAGAAGGAAGATCTTTTAGCAGTTTTTATGTAACATAGAATTCTTATGTATTTATCTAGCTCACACCAAAATTTTGATGTTTACCTGCATACCACTTTACCTATGCTTGAAAATGTGGATTTGACTTGTGAACAATGATAATTAGCGGTAGTTTTGATGTGATAGGAAAGAACTGAGTGGTTTGCAGGTAAATATGAAGATTTGGATGCGAGATATGTAAATACAGAAGAAGTTGTTGAGATTTATATCCAATGTAGGGTCCTATTTGTAAATGGACGAAGTCTAGAGTTTTTCCTTGTAAATGTTGTAACTTGTAAGGTTCTATATAAGCCCATCATCAATGAAATGAGAGTGGGTTTTTGAGCAATAATTTCTATTTGTTATTAGAGCCTCTACTCTAACTCTAGCAGCCGTCTCTATGCTTGATAGGCCGTGGCAAAGTTACCTGGAGAGGATCGCGTATGAAGGTTCGCGAGGAGTCTGGATCACACGGTTGGCCTGGGCGAGATCATGTGGTTTGCCTAGGGCATGATCGCGTGGAGGGAAGGATCGCCTGCAGGGATTGCGGCTCTCACCTGATAGAGTAGCGTCTCACGCGTGGAGCGAAGTATGAAGATTAGCCCCTTCTTTCTGTTTCACACGACAAAGTAGCATCTCTCGCTTACAGGGACTGCGGCGTGACCTGACCCGAATGATACAGTCACAATTTGAGCTAACTGAGAAGGCAACGACGGGTCTGTTACTTATGAAATGGTAGAATTGCGGCTCAGAATTTAGGAAGGCAGTGGGGCAGGACTTCGTTTCTAGAGTTCTACTTGACGACAATGAGACGAAGGATCGAAGCGGCTGCAATTTTGTGTTCGAGAAAAAGTGGTTGCGGCTTTGTGCGGGATAAGGCAAAGTGGATCAAACGAATTTGCAGGAAGTCATGTGTGTTCTACAAGCTCTGGATTTATCCTTGTGATTGAGGATGTCAGGAGACAGAGACAGTGCGACAAGTGAAGGTTTGGAACTTTTGGGGAAGATAGATCTTGAAGTTTTGAAGGTCTTGATCGAGCTCATACAAGGAGCTCTGTCTCGTCGGGAGTTATATCAGCACGTGCTCCGACGCAGGTGAAACTAGATCTCCCTCTTGTGGATCTGAAGCTTGATGGACTGGCCACATATCTTACTTAGTCTCGTCGGATCGAGACTGCTCTAATAGGGAGGAGACTAGAAGAATCTGTCATTTAGAGAGTTTGAATTATACTACACTCTGGAGGTGAATTCACCATTCAGTGACTCAACAGACAGAGATATAAGGCAAGAGAGAGTAAGTATGCAAGTGGGAGCAATGCCATATGTTGTGATGTGGGATGAATCAACTGAGGAGACGAAAATCAAGGAGATTGACCACAAAGGTGATGGGATTCAGACTGAAGGTGAGTTAAGGGTGCATACACAGACTAAGAAGCAAATTGAGGGAATAGTCTCTGCATTGCTAACAATTCCCTTGTCTCACTTTTCCCCAAATCTTGAGATACCTAAACCATCAACCTTTGATTCAAAACTTCCATATTATATTCTCCCCCCCCCCCCCCCCCCCCCCCCCCCAACGTTAAGAAAGACCTCCCGCAACGATGCAGGACATCCTCCTTATCATTTTGGGTGGGAAATTGACATTGCGAACTTTATTTTTTATTATAATATCTCACATTTGCATTGAGCATTCATTGCATCATTGGACTGTCTCTATGCCCAAATGTTGGCAGGTTACTAAAGATAATCCTAAGTGTAAAGCGGCGATGGATGAAGAGCTTGGAGCTCTTGATAAAGATCGAACTTGGGAGATTGTACCATTATCAACCAGAAAGAAAACGGTTGGATGCAATCAGATCTTCTCGGTAAAACAAACTCCAGAAGGGAAGGTGGGGAGGTACAAAACACGATCAGCGGCAAAAGGGTGCAGTCAGACGCATGACATTTATTATGATTGAAAACTTTGCACCAGTCACAAAGATGAGCACGGTGAGGACACTGACTTCCCTGACAGTGTATGGTGGATGGAGACTTTATCAATTGGATGTGAAGAATGTTTTTCTTCATGGGTAGCTACTGGAGGAGGTATATATGGAGATATCTCCAGGATTCTATACATCTCAGACAGTGGGCAACATATGTAGGCTCGGGAAGTCATTGTATGACTTAAAGCAATCTACTCGAGCTTGGTTTGACAAGTTTAGAATAACAATGGTCGGCATGGGATATTAGTAGATCAATACTGACCGGATGGTTTTTTATCGACAACATGAATATCACACAACCATACTTGCTGTGTATGTGGATGACATAATTATTACTGGTGATGATGAAGCAGAGATTGCTCAACTAAAGGGAAGATTGAGGAAGCAATTTGAGGTAAAAGATCTGGAACAACTCAGATACTTTCTTGGGATTGAAGTGACCCATGGATCTGAGAGGATTGTTCTATCCCAGAGAAAGTATGCACTGGATATTCTTATAGAGATAGGTATACGGGAGTGCAATCCTGCAGCCTCTCCAATTGATCAGAAGGTCAAGTTCAATATAAAGATAGGTGAATCGTTTGATCGTGAGAGATATCAGAGGCTGGTGTGTCGCCTGATCTATCCGTGCCACACTCAACATGATATTTCTTTTACAATAATTGCCGCTACATGCATGATCAAAGAAAGGGTCATATAGATACAATGTAACAAATTCTGAGGTGTCTGAAGAGTGCATGAGAGAAAGGGTTGATATTCACGAAGAATGAGCATGTATATATTGAGGGTTTTTGTGATTTTGTCTCGGCAAGTTGTGCTAATGACAGACGATTCACATCAGGGTATTGCATGTTTGTTGTTGGCAACTTGATCTTGTGGAAGAACAAGAAACAGTTAGTTGTAGCAAGATCAACAACAGAGACTGAATACAAGGTCTTGGCATTAGGAGTTGCTGAGATGATGTGGTTGAAAGCTTTGTTAGTTGAACTCAAATTTGACCAGGGAACTCAAATGAAGTTGTGGTGTGACAACAAGTTGGCAATAAGCATTGCTAACAACCCGATGCAACTTGATAGATCCAAACATGAGGACATTGATAGATTCTTCATCAAGGAAAAGCTGAATAACGGACTACTGGAGTTATGTCCCGTAGCCAATGGAGAGGAAGTGGTTGACTGCCTCACCAAAGGATTTTGTTCATTAAATTTGTCTAGATTATGTGACAAGATGGGCTTAGTGAATATCTTTTGCTTATCTTGAGGAGGAGTCTTGAAATTTATATGAATGTAGGGTCTTATTTGTAAATGAATGAAGTCTAGGGTTTTATTTGTAAATGTTATAACTTGTAAGGCTCTATATAAGCTCGTCATCAATGAAATGAGTGTTTTTTTTGGCACAAATTTCTATTAAATTGCATGTTATGTATGTAAATGCCCCTTTGATTTTACATTATTATTTTTTTTCTATGCATGATGTCCTAGTAGATCATCATAGAACCTTACGAATTTTGTTTAATAATTATTTCTTATTAGGATAGATCTTGATCAACCGTATTGCTTTTTATTCTATTACATATTGTTAATTGAACATGTATTACTATTTATTCATCTAGTCTTCAAACTCAAGTTCACATAGCTAATTATAATCTATAATTTTGAAATTGCATGTAAATAGATTTTTATCAGGTTTCTTCACAATCTAATAATTTTTCAAGCATGTGAAAAAATGAGGATGATCTGATGACATAGAAGCCCTTTTATAAGTTACACATTTTATCAATGGAGGAATGCCATTATGATCTCCTGACCCTTTACTGGAGGTTATTTTAATATCAAAGTTTATAAAAGTACAAATTTAGTCCCCAAACTTCGTTAATAAGGGTTGAAACAATCCTCAGCCTGAAGACTAATTTAACACTTTCATAGATAATTCAACTAAAATGACACTAAATAATCAAAGGACCATTTTGATAATTTTCTCTTCTATCTTTATATTTTGCCAATCCAATTAGTTCAATATATGTAATGTATCATCACAGGCCTATATCTTTAATCCCAACTCATTTAGAATACCCTGCATTTTAAAATAACAATTACCATCTTTAGCAATCGGGATCGATCCAATCAATATTACCAAATGATTGCATGCATGCATGTGTGTCATTCTTTTGCTTTTTCCTCATTAATCCAAAATATATGTTTTAAAACAACAAAAGCAGTATATTCCATTGGCAGTTTGCACTTTCTCCTTAAACAACATTGAATCAACTTAAACATTGAATATTACATTTTGTCAGAGAAACTCCTCGTCGTATTACGAGATGGAAAAGTTACTCGGCATTCTTCGATCTTTTGATCAGTTTGGTATCTTTCTATTGCTGCTTCCTCTGCATTTGATTTGATTTTTTTTTTTTTTTCAAATTTTAACTATCAAAATCAATTTTCTGCAAAGCAAATGCTGTTCTGGAAGGGGCCTGCGAGAGAGTGATTGTTGGAGATCTTTATTGTGATATTTCTCTGGGTCTGTATGTGATTCGTGGAGAGAACGTAGTTTTGATTGGAGAGCTGGTATTGATCCATTATGCCTCATAGCATTTTTGTTGCTTCTTTTTCCTCTGCGTACCTTTGTGATGAATGTTGTTTCTGAGCTTGATAGGATATTGAGAGAGATGAGCTCCCTCCGCACATGATAAATGTTTCACCTGCAGAGATAAGAAAGGTAACATTCCTGTATTCATTCCAGTTATATTTATGAACTCTGTTCTGCTCCTTAATCTCTCTTTTTCTTAATCTCTGCATTTTTTACTATTTTTATCTGGGATTATATTGCTCAAGTTTGGAATTTACATGGAATATTGACAAAGTTTGGCGGCTCATTTGGGACAGCTTTTTCATATACTTATTTTAAGATATTTGCATACATACCACACAATTCTTATGTATTTGGATATCTAGCACCTAAATTTTAATATTTACGTTCATAACTTAGCCGTTACGCAGTTCCTACAACACATCACCACCTCCATCTATATAATTCTTATGTATTTACAGATCTATAACACCAAAACATTCATATTTACATGCATACCGCTCAATGATTTAACATCACATAAGAATCATCACCATCACTAGTTTTCAAGAAAAATAAAAGAAACCTTTTTCATGCATAGGTTTATGACGCCAAGATATTATAAATATAAATATCAAACTGTAGTTGTTAGGTATATAAATACATAATAATTGTGCGGTATGTATGTAAATTTCCTTTCAAATTTTTAATGAAGCTGTTGCATACTTAGAACTATACATCGAATTTCCAGCGTCTGTGACATTGATCTTCACAGGCACAGAAAGCAGAGAGGGATGCCACAGATTTGAAAGGCTCCATGCGAAAAAGAATGGAGTTCCTTGATATGGACTAGAAAACAACATTTCTTCTTTCACCCTGCTTTATGATGATGTCCATAAGCCAAACTTTTATGACTCTTCATATATTATTGATCTGTGATTCTACGAAGGGGGCCCATTTGTTTTTTTATTTATTATTACTCTTTTAGAAAAGTATTCGCTTGTTGTCTAATTTGGGGAATAATATGAATATTTTACTTTATTTGGGGTACAATGTTAGAATTATTGGTATAGGTACTGTTTGCTTGTACATAACACTAGTCTTAAATTTTGAGGCATTTGTCCACCCTGAAGGGGTGTTTGGCTTGTAGGAAGGATTTAATGTTAGAAGATATTAAGTAAATCCGGATTTATTAAATTTAATTTTTTTGTTGGATTTAGTAAATCGTGATTTAACATGATCGGAAGACAAAATT